ACTTCATCTGGTTCAATATTGGGACAAATGTTGTAGTTGCCTGTTCAGCAACCATTCACAGATTCCTTCTTCCTAACTGGCAGAACTGTCTCTGAAACTGAAAATGTCAGATGCTTTCTTTTCTAGCTCCCCTTGCAGGTGGGGGATGGACATGTGACCCAGTGCTGGTCCGTGAGACCAGAGGAGAAATCTGTGGAATATTTTTCTTTATAAAAATTGGTGATTGAGAAAAATGCCCTTCCTTCCTGTCCTGATCTTCCTGCATGAGGATGTGATACTTAGTGCTGCAAAGATCACCTTGAGACTAAAGGCCTGAGAACAAAGCCCTCCTTGCTGGTTATAGTCAAAGAGAAATGTGGAGCCTGGATCTTTAATGTTAACATGGAGCTGCTGAACCAACCCCATAGCCATCTACCTGTGGGCATTTTAAGTGAGATAAAAATACTTATTGTTTGAACCCTTGCTGCTCTGACAGTGGTCTGGATCAGCGGTATCAGCATCGCCTGGGAGGTTGGTTAGAAATACAAATTCCTAGAGCTCACGTCGGACCTACTGCGTCAGAATATGCACTTTAATAAGACCACTAGGTGGATAAGATGCACATTAAAGCTTGAGAAGCACCGGTTTAAACCACTTTGAATTAGGCATTCTGTTATATACAGTTTAAAACATCCTTAATAATATAATTACATTGTGGATTTGGCCAAGTCTCATTTTTTAAATAAGAAAATACTTGACCGGAAAGACTTCTGATTCAGATGTTGAGAGTTGCAAGAGACTTTTTATTCTCACCAAAACAAGCAATATAAATATAAGCTACATAATCATAGTTTTTTTTTTTAAACTGTATCAGAAAGCTTGAAGACACAAATCTAAGTGACTCCAGAGAGTGGCAAGCCCTCCATAAAAGAGGTAATCCAGTCTGCCTTCTTTCCTGACTAAAATGTAGAGGAAAGGAGGAAACCACCATATTACGGAGAAACCAGCCTCGCTTTTAAACTTTGAATGACTGTGTACGGGCTCGCATGCCAGATTGGAAACCAGAGAAGCCCTAGAGCAGTGCTGTCCACTAGAACCTTCTGCCGTGATAGACATGTGCTAACCACCGTGGTCGCTGGTAGCCAGATGTGGCTATTGAGCACTTGAAATGTGGCTCGTGGGACTGAGAAACTGCATTTTTAATTTTAATTAATGTAGACAAATAGTCACATGTGGCCGGTGGCTACCATGTTGACAGTGCAGCCCTAGAGACAGCGCCTGGCTGCGCCGCCCCCCAGTCCTCTGCCACCCGTCTGCACTTAGTGCTGGGGTGTTACTCCAAGAACCGAGGCAGTGAAGCAGAGCTGAGAGAAAATGCCTGAGGCGTAGGTTTTCAGCTGGGGAGATAGAGGGGAGCTGGGAGAAATCCCTTTCAGGCCATTTCCAGCTTCACAAAGTGTAGGGCAGACAACAACAAGAGTGGGGCCGAAAGATCTGCCAAGGGCCAAAAAGTCGGGGGTGGACCTGGAAAACAGCTCCTGGAAGGAGCAGGCTCGCTCCTTTACAGTTCAGAACAGCAGACAGCTCAGGAGATTCCAGAACCTCACCAGTTCTAATCCCATGCCTTGCTGAGGATTTAAGTCCTGATCCTGTCCTCAAAATGTCTGAATCCAGTGAGGAAATGAATCAAACTAAAGTTGCCACAAGAAGCCCAGGTTCAGCTCAACTGTAGAGCACGTTATGTCAGCCCTGGCCCGAACGGCAGGCTCCTTGCTGGAATTAGATCTCATTTCCTTTAGTCTCTGCTGTAGTTTTATACAAAACTTCCTGGTACGAAGTCAAAGATCTTAAGACAAAAGACACATGTGGCCCCTAGTCAAGAAAAGTAAACAATCAGTAGAAGACCCAGAGATGACCCAGACGTTGGTGTTATCAGTCAGGAGCTTTTTAACTATGACACAAATGCCATAGAATCTGGTGGACAAGGTGCACAGCATGTGTGAAGAGATGAGGAATTTCAGGAGAGACAGGGAGACTTTTTTTTTAAAGAACCAAATAAAAATGCTAAAAATAAATGTCATGTCAGAAATTAAGATCCTTTAGATGGGCTTAGCTGAAAATACCTGACCAGCTTTGGGCAGATTCCTGGGAGCAGTCTGTATTGTGGAAGAATTCCTTATGAGTTACACTGATATTTACTTTGAACAAGAATTAACACACCACTCATTATACTGGTTATTAAGCCCACAAACATTTCTTTTGATAGAGCACTGCATACATTCATCAGGCCACATAGTCTCACATATTTTCCTGGTAATTTTCTGATAGAAAAGAAAATAATTGGCACTTGTGTGAATCCACACATAGACTTTTCATGTTGGCAACTTTGCATTGAACATATGATCATAAAATACTGATTTTCACGTGATAAATACTGTAGTTTTCTGGAGTAACTAGTTTCTTAACAGGTAACCCTGTTAGTGTCCATTGAGGCTTAAGGAATAGTGACAGGAAGTTTCAGGCTGCCACTCAGGACATACAGGAAATTTCTTTGCAATTAGAACTTGAATTTCTAGAATGATCATTGCCTCTGCCATCCCTCAAGTGACTATAGCAGTTTTTTCCTTAGGGAAGTGAATTCTTTTTTCCCTTTAATCTCTTTAAAGTTTTATAATTTTTTAATTTACACTTTTTTTATTAAAGTGTCCTTGATTTACAGTATTGTGTTAGTTTCTGTTGTACAGCATAAAGATTCAGTTATACATAAATATTGTTTCATTGTAGGTTGTTACAAGATATTGAATATAGTTAGTTCCATGTGCTATGCTATAGGATCTTGTGGTTTATCTGTTTTATATATTGTAGTTTGTATCTGCAAATCCCAGACTCCTAATTTATCCATCCCCTCTTCTTCCCTTTGGTAACCATAAGTTTGTTTTTTGTCTGTGAGTCTGCTTCTGTTTTGTAAATAAGTTCACTGTATCATTTATTTAGATTCCATGTATAAATGATATCATGTAATAGTTGTCTTTTTCTTTCTGACTTACTTCGCTTAGTATGATACTCTCTAGGTCCATCTATGTTGCTGAAAATGACATTATTTCATTTTTATGGCTGTGTAGTATTCCATTGTATATATATACCACAACTTTATGCAGTCATCTGTCCGTGGACATTTACGTTGTATCCATGTCTTGGCTATTGTAAATAGTGCTATTATGAATACGGAGGTGCATCTATCTTTCGAATTAAGAGTTTTATCTGGATATATGCCCAAGAGTGGGATTGCTGGATCATAGGGTGACTATTTTTAGTTGTTTATGGAATCTCCATACTGTTCTCCATAGTGGCTACACCAATTTACGTTCCCACCAGCAGTGTAGGAGGGTTCCTTTTTCTCTATATCCTTTCCAGCATTTATCATTTGTGGACTTTTTAATGATGACCATTCTGACCAGTGTGGAGTGATGCCTCATTGTAGTTTTGATTTGCATTTCTCTGATAATTAGAAATATTGAGCATCTTTTCATGTGCCTGTTGGCCATCTGTATGTCTTTACTGGAGAAATGTCTGTTTAGGTCTTCTGCCCATTTTCTGATTGGGCTGGGTTGGGTTTTTTGGTTTGTTTTTTGTTTTTTTGGTTATTGAGTTGTTTGTATGTTTTATACATGTATTTTTTTATTTAGTATTTATAGAATAACTCATAATTACTCCAAAAAGAGCCTATTTTTATTTTCACAAATGGGAAATTTCTCAGCTGATTACGTTTTTTCATTGCAACTTATATGGCCAAAGTATTGCCTTGGAAGCTTACAAATACATACTGAAGATGAAACATTTCACCTTCATGTGCACATACTTCTAATAACTTTTGTTAGAATAAAATGGTAATGAGTTACCAGCAGTAATCATAAAATTAACGAACTGCTTTATTTTTACAGGAAAAATATTTATCCCTAAGCAAAAACCTATACAGACTTTTACAGAAGAAAAAATATCTCTTGATCCAGAATTAGAAGAAGCTTTGACAAGTGCTTCTGATACAGAATTGTGTGACCTCGCAGGTATCTCCTAAAACAAACTAATCTGTGAATGAGCGTAGAGGGGAGGGGATGCCGGCACACACACATCTATATTTGCCTAATGAAGTGCTGTTGAATAAGTAACCATATATTTGACTTTGTTTTTTTACACTGTAATCTGACATTAAGGGCTTTGTTTCTTTAAATTCTCTTATTGGTGAGATTTTCATGTTGATGGAATGTATTGATTACTTGACATCTTTTCCCATGTTGCCAGCTTTGAAAGTTTTTATAAAAATCTTTCACAGCTGCTGGTGCTCAGCTAGAAGCTGCCTCCAGGGTCTACTGCTGTCCCATTTTATCAGCAGACCCAAAGACAGATAACTGGAACTTAGATAAAATAGTCCGGAGCTATACTCACCACTTCCCCAACTTTTCTGAAGTGTATAGGGAACAGTCTAAACCCCCCTGTGATTTTCATCATTACCAGTTTCTTA